CATACGTGATGAATAACAATTCATCTCCCATCTCTGTGCCTTTGCACTGATGGTCCCTATGTCTAGAATGTTCTTCCTCTTTACCTCCAACTTTTAGAATTTCTGGTTTTCCTTCAAGACTCACTTTCCATAGGAGGCTCTTTACAGGCACCTACCAGTGCCTTCCCTTCTAAAATTACTTTCCATCTACTCCGTATCTTGTATGAGTACTTAATATCTCCACATTAGAATATAAGCTTAAGGTGAATGTTTTTTTTCTTTTTCTTTTTATCTCTAATGCTTAGCACAATGTCTCACATGTAGTAAGAACTTAAAAGACTGTTGATTGATTCTAGTTTCTGTTATATTTTATAGATAACATAGGATTCCTTATATAGCAAAAGCTGGTTAGCCTTAACATTGAAAGTAAGTGGAAGAGTGTAGAGAGATGGACTTGAGGTTGGTTGGAAGGACCTGATCCTGACACGTACTGGCTATGTCAGCCTGATCAAGTTACTTAACTTCTCAGTTTATCATCTTTTGCATTGGAGAGGTATGAGGCAAAACCTGAGCTGTATTAGTTTACGTTTCTCTCATGACCAATGATTTGGAGCAATCTTTCAAGTAGCTTTTGATAGTTTGCTAATTCTTATTTTGAACATTCTCTCCATCCTTTAACCACTTTATCAACTGGGGAATGGCTCTTGGTCTTATGTAGTAGTCAATTCCCTTCATCTCTTAGATGGCAGACTCCTATTAGGGATATTGAAAGTTTTTTTCTCTCCTTGATCATTTTTCTTATCTTAGCTACATTTTATTTCTGCAAAAGCTTTTGAATTTTATATAATCAAAGTCATCTATTTTGCCTTTTGTGATTTCTATCACTCAACTGGTTATGACTTTTCCCCTTAATCATAGCTGTCAAAGTAACCTCCTTCCATTCTCCTCCAAATCCTTTGACAATTTTTCTTAAAATTTTTAGACCTTGTGCATGTTTGGTGTATATTGTGCTATATGGTGTAAGGTGCTGGTTTAATTTAATTTCTTCAAATTGCCTTCTGGTTTCCCACCAGCTTTTTGTTGAACAGTTATTCTCTTGTTTGTTTATGGTCTTAGATTTATTGAATACCAAAATGCTAGGTTTGAGTGGCTTTGGATTTTGCTTATCTAGTCTGTCCTACTAATTTATTCTATTTTTAACTCATACTCTATAGTTTGAATGATTACTGATTTAAAATAATTTGGGATTTGGTAATGGTATACATGCTTCATTTCTCCTTTTTCCATTAATTCTCTTGAGAATCTAGCATTTTTAATCTTACAAATGGATTTTTAAAAACAATTTGGTTGGTTAGCACAAAATTTGTAAATTAATTTAGGTACTATAGTCACTGGCATGCCTAACCATAAACAATGAACTCTCCCCCAATTACTTCTCTTCATTTATTTATATAAAGAATTTTGTAATTGTATTTACATCTTCAATGTGCACTATTAGGTTAACTCATGCATTTTGTAGATAGTTTGGACTATCTCCTTCTGCTGAGTTTCATTAGTGCTATACAAAAATAATGATGATTAGGGGCAGGTAGGTGGCACAGTGGATAGAACACTGGCTCTGGAGTCAGGAGGACCTGAGTTCAAATCTGGTCTCAGACACGTGATATTTACTAGCTGTGTGACCCTAGGCAAGTCACATAACCCCAACAGCCTCACATAAAAAAAAAAAAAGAAATAATGATGATTCTCGTGATTTTATAGCCTGTTACTTTTGTGAAACTATTGTCTCAATTAGTTCCTTTGCTGATGCTCTGGAGTTTTCTAATAAAACTATAATATAGTCTGTCAATAGGGATTTTTTTTTTACTAATGTTTAATAGCTTTCATTTCTTTCTCTATGTATTTAAGAACTGTATCAATAAATAAACTGTACCAATAAATCAAGACATTGTAAAACAAAACCATAAGAATGAAAAAATAGAAAATAATGTGAAATATCTCACTGGGAAAAGAACTAACCTTGAAAATAGATCCAGGAGACATAATTTAACAATTATTGGACTATTTGAAAGCCACGATCAAAAAGAGCCTAGACATCATCTTTTGAGAAATTATCAAGGAAAACTGCCCTGATATTTAGAACCATAGGGTAAAATAGAAATGGAAAGAATCCACCAATCACCTCCTGAAAGAGATCCCCAAAGGAAAACTCATAGGAACTCTGTAGTCAAATTCCAGAGTTCCTAGGTCACGAAAATATTGGAAGCAGCCAGAAAGAAACAATTCAAGTATTGTGGAAACACAATCAGGATAACACAAGATTTAGCAGCTTCTACATTAAGGGACCAGAGGGCTTGGAATATAATATTCTGGAGGTCAAAGAAGATAGGATTACAGCCAAGAATCACTACCCAGCAAAACTGAGTACAATCATTCAGGGGAAAAATGGATATTCAGTGAAATAGAGGACTTCCAAGCATTCTTGATGGAAAAACCAGAGCTGAAAAGAAAATCTGACTTTCAAATACAAGACTCAAGAGTAGCATGAAGATGTAAATGAGAAAGAGAAATCATAAGGGACTTATTAAGGTTGAACTGTTTACATTCCTGCATGGAAAGATGATATTTGTAATTCATGAGACCTTTGTCAGTATTAGGTTGGAGGGGAAAAAAATTATATGTATGTATATATAGACAGACAGATAAATAGAGGGCACAGGGTGAGTTGAAAATGAATGGGTGATATCTGGAGAATTATACTGGGAGGAGGAGAAAGGGAGAGGTAGAATGAGGTCAATTATCTCACATAAAACTGACAAGAAAAGGCTTTTACAATGGATGGGAAATGGGGGAAGGTGACAGGGAATGAGTGAATCTTATTCTCATTGGACTTGGCTTAAGGAGGGAATAACATATACACTCAACTGGGTATGGAAATCTATCTTACCCTACAGGAAAATGGGGGAGAGGGGAAGGGGACAAGAGAGCAGGGGGATGATGGTGGGGAGGGCAGATTGTGGGAGGGGGTAATCAGAAGCAAACACTTCTAAGGAGGGACAGGGTCAAAAGAGAGAATAGAATAAATGGGGGACAGGATAGGATTAAGGGAAATATACTTAGTTTTTCACAACATGACTACCAAAGAAGTGTTTTGCATGACTACACATGTATAACCAGTATCAAGTTGCTTGCCTTCTCCATGAGGGTGGGTGGGGAAGGAAGAAGGGAGAAAATTTGAAACCCAAAGTTTTAAAAGCAAACATTAAAATTCGTTTTCACATGCAACTGGGAAATAAGATATATAGGCAATGGGGTATAGAAATCTCTTCTGCCCTACAGGAAAACTGAAGGGAAAGGGGATAAGAGAAGGGGAGGGGGAAGACAGAAGGGAGGGCAGATTAGAGGAAGAGATATTCAGAATGCACGCCACCTTATGGTGGGGGAAGGGATGAGATGGGAAGAAAATCTGGAATTCAAAATTTTGTGGAAGTGAATGTTGAACATTAAAAATAAATAAATTAATAGATATATGCCTTTGATCATGTTAAAGAAGTGGCCTTGCATACCAATGCTTTTTAGGGTTAACATATGAGTGTTTTATTTTATTAAGCACTTTTCCCTATATGTGGTTTTTTTAATATGGTTATGCTAATTGTTTTCCTAACAGTGAACTATCCCTATTATATGTTTAACTTGCTCACTGTGAGGAAAAATTGGGCACATGGCTATAGCCTCTTTGGTAACATTAACACTTTTTTTTTTTTTGGCATCATTCCTTAGGGACATAGTTTTTAGTGATCATTCTCTGCTTTAATCCATGTTTGGCTTGGCATCAGACCCATTATTTCTCTCATAAAAAGTATGGTAGAGTGCCTTCCTTCTAAATTATTGGGAATGATTTTTTACAAGAATTAAATGCTGTTTAAACATGTGAATTAAGATAAACAAGCATTAATTCTTACCATGTAGCTGTATTACCTACTATACAAGGGTTAGGGAGGGAATGGACAGCCCTCATGTCTTCCCTTAAGCTATTCAAATTACCAACCTGAGTTGGTTCTTGTCTACTGTATTGCATATTAACCCTTTCAGTTACAGAAAATTTTTGATTAAACAGTTACATCTCATTTCCTCAACAAATCATGTAACAAATACTTATTATGACTTCAAGTCCTTGATAAGTGTATTGATACTAGTGGTTATTTTTAAGTGACAGAAAAGTTCATTTTATTTATCACTAATTCCTGAAGAATTTGTGGCACTGTGCCTGGTGCACCGTAACTATTTAATAAAATTGCTTTATCTATCTAAACAACCCCTTTTATTCTAAATGGCAGAAATGGAAAATCCCACATCATGTTCAAAGCCAAAATTATAACACTACAAAAGCTAAAGGTAAAACAAAGTTCCTAGGTCTGAAGGTCTGATCTTATTGCTAAGGGATGGTCTAAGTCTGTTCCAAATCACAATTTCCTTCCTGCTTCTGACCACACAAGAACCACAATAAGCAGTTACCCCAAAACAGCACCAAAGGTCAGGCCAGTCTGGTTAGTCTACAGCTTGTAGAAAAGACCAGTTGGTATATGCTATTTTAGAATTAGGCCAATAGTTGTAGTTATTGTTAATCTGTGGATAGCAGTAATAACTTCAAAAGTAAGTATCACATGTGGTACCTTTTATAACTATTGTCATATTATATGTACTTAAAAAGGCCTAAATCTATTCTCTACCTATCTGCTCTACCAATTAAGCACTTACTTTATCTGTATGGTATTTTAAGCATTCCTTTATCTGTATGGTATTCTAAGCAATACAAAACAAGAAGGTAGCTGATTAATTTCATCCTTAATCTAACAATGCTATTTAAATGTATATACATACAAATGGTTCCATTTCAATGTTTTATATATTTACACTTTTCTAAAAGAATATAGTAAATCAGGATTGCAGTTGAGTTTAAGATTATGATTACTTAATTAAGCATCCAAAGATATGACACAAAATTATAAAACCCCCTTTTATTTAAACTGAAATACACTTATCTTTTGCATAGGTTTTAATCAAAATCAAAGCACTGATATTTATTTAGCCCATGATGACCTAAGAACAGAAAATGTATTTCCTTACACCTGAAATTATTCTTATTTAAGAAACACAGTAATTTATATAGAAATATTGATATGTTAACCTTTTCAGTATTTAAAATTCAGAAATGCTGATATATCATCAAAGCATTACCATCAAGGGGAAGAAATTTTCAGACACCTTGAAAACAATACCTGCATGTAGGCCGTTTCTGATACAGATTAACAAAAATGAACCCCATTTTCTCTAATACTAAATAAACGCTTTATTATATTGTTGCTTTTTAGATGACATGACACTATTGAAAACATTTGGTTGCTACTTCCAGAATTATCATGTCTGGAAAAAAATATTCTATGGTTTACCATTTGTTGCCATGACTTACAAAGATAGGGTCTATAGTCTATATCTACTTCTTCACAAGAGAGTTTTAAGGAAGATGATCTTTCTGTTGAATTTGAACTTTTTTGCATTATAGTTTGTGTTGTTGCAAAGAGAACCAAGTGATATTCTTTTACAAGCTTCTCCATGAATTTAGAACATTTCTTCAGAGTAACTTCTTGTAAGTTAACGCTTTCTCCTCCATTGCCCCGGTCTATCCAATAGAAGGCTGATAAACTATCTAAAATGAAAAGGCAGAGGGATGGGTGGCTACAAAACATAGTTTCCAGTGAGTAAAGGGTGATAAGTAACTGGTTACTGCTGCTGCAATTCACGAGAAAAAATCTTCCAAGACAGTGTTTTATTATGTCTTCTGTGCTCTGGGACAGTCTATGTTCAAGAATTGTAACTAGCCGAAGCATATCAAAGTGGTAGTCTGTGTCAATAAATAAGACTTCGACTTCTAATCCACCTTCTGATTTTGGAAGGATACATCTTGCAGTCAGATGATAGAGCATTTCTGTTTTTCCTGTTCCTTCTGGACCATGGAATTCTAGTATATCACCTGTAAAAAATGAAGGAATGCTAATTGGAATATAGTAGTCAGAGCTGCAGGTGATGACAAAATTTAGACAACAGTTAAAAGTATTTTTTTGGCCTCTTTTTTTTAAGATGAAGGCTTCTTAGACTATGTGAAAAAAACCCACATTTTGTCAAAATTGTAAGTGAAATTTATCAGTAAGTATTAAAGAAGGAATAAAATAGCAACTAAATATATTTTACCTTATGAGAGCAAGTCAGCTATTAATCATCCTCAAGTAGATTAAAAGCATTTCTTTCAGTTTATCCTTTACAAATTCTATTTTAAAATTCTTTATTGAAAATACCACTCAACTTATTTAAAATCTTTTGTGTTGATTCTTAATTTTGCTCTTTCTTCCTGGACCTCCTGGAGTCCTTTCAAAGGTGAGCCTTCTTTGAAAGGCATGTGTTTAGGTTAAATTAATACTTTCCCCAGTTTGAGAGGTGAAGGCAACTATCTAGTCCAGGCTGGTCTGTACTGAAAAATCCATATGGGAAAACTGGATGACTTGTCAGTTCTTCGTGCATTATGTCTTCACAAATTATTTTATTTCCAGCTCCAAACTGATGCAAATATAGACCCTAGATCAGTAAGATTTAAAAGGAACAAGTACACAGGGATACACAAAAAAATAACTACAAAACTATAATCTTAAAATACATATCTACTAGAGCTACCCCCTCCCCCATTTCTTTTAATTTAAATAAAAGTGCTTTCATATTTAGTGTCTCTGGCCTCTGTGTTGTTGTCCTTTTCATTGCTCTCTTACTAAAATGGCAACTGTATGTCATTCTCAGGTTTTAGATAAGCCAGACTGAAAAACTGGAGCATGTACTCAGGCAGGCATCATATTATGAATTCCTGGGATATATGACACCATCGTATAAAAGTAAAATTTCAGAATCAACATGATAAATACACATTTTTGGGAACTGTTGTTGTTTTGAATATTTATATCTCTGTTCCATTCTGCAAGCATAAAAAAATTAAGAGTTGACAGCATTTCAATTTAGGTTACCATTTTGATAACTTCCTAGTAAATACTTTGCTTTTTTACAAAACCAAATGCAGATATTTTTATACACAACAGAATAAACACTTCCTGAAATGAACCCCAAGCCTCCTTTCTAATTCCCCTAAAAGTCAACAATTATATAGTTCATTCAACAAACCTTTATTAAGCACTTAGACTGTTCCAAGCACTGTCAAATAGTAAGAAAAATACAAAGACAGAAAGAAAAACAGCCTCTGCCCTGCAGGGGTTTATGTTCTCCTACTTATTTAACTTTCAGGAAGTGGGAGGAAGTTACTTCTTGTAAAAATGAATTTGAATATAAAATATAATGATGACAACTTTAACACATGACAGTGACTAGTAGCTCCTCTACTAAGACAGCCTTCAACCTGACAAAGTAGAAAAAGCACTGGATTAAAAGAATACAGATGACCTGGGTTCTAGTCTTGGCGGCATCACTGCTATGTGACCATATCAAAGTTAATAAACCCTGAGCCTTGGTTTCTCATTGAAAAATGACGGAGCTGACTAGATGGTTTCTAAAGCTGTTTTACTATGCCCTGAAAATTCTAAAGAATTTTTGTAAAGAATTTCAGTTGAAATGTAAATTAATACTAAAACTACACAAGGGTTTGTTTTTGGTTTTTTTTTTTACAATTTTTGTTCATTTCAGTTGTCTATTTACTGATAAACATGGTCATCTAATACTTGATGTGGAAGGAATAGAACAAGTATTTATTAAGTGCCTACTATGTGCCAGGCAGTATGTTATGTACTTTACAAATGTTATCTCATTTGATCCTCACAACAACCCAGGAAGGTAGATGCTATCATTATTCCCATTTTACAGCTGAAGAAATTGAGGCAGATAGAAGTTTAGTGACTTGACCTGGGTCACATTGCTAGTATGTATCTGAGATGGCTTTGAACTCAGGTCTTCTTGACTCCAGGCCTGGAGCTCTATCTATGGTGTTGCCTCATTGCCCCTGTAATCATGGAGATATGGAATTATCTTATACAAGTTATTCATCAACTCCTCTATTTCTTCCTATGCTGATTATCCTAGAAAAAAGCCAAATCCTCTATTTACATAGTAATATCTGCCTAATCTGAAACTGTCTCGTATGTTGCAGACCTATGATCCTTCATGTAAAGTACAACTTCACAGTATTTCAGTGCAACTTAGACCTACTGATGCACCTCCTGATGCACTGTGGAGACAACAGTTACAACAAAAGAGTCGGGAATTTTGCTCAGGTAGGTGGAATTTACCTGAATCATTGGTAAACTACAAGCCTACACAATCTCTGCATTGTTTTTATCAAGAAACTTCTTCTGACCAAATAGTCAAGAGTAGAGTTCACTCAAAGAACTATAAAAACATAAGAATTTTAGAGTCAGAAGGCATGGAACATGTTGGTGATATTTTCATCCTCACTCATCTGAAACAAGTCCCCTCTTCTTTTTCAATTATACAAACATAACTGAGATAAATAGTATAAACCTGAACTTTTTAACATCAATAATTAGAAGCTGTTTCTCAAGCTACATACTATAGACCATGGGGTTTCACGAAGAAGTAAAAGGGGTCCTGCAGAAAAAAAAAAGTTGTAATGGGGAATGAATACCCAAGGCAAACCTTTCCACTCTGATGTCTGCAAGCTTCTCACATGATGTGTATAGTAAGATGAGGTGGATAATCACTGGGCATTGGTTAAAATTAAACAAGAATGAAAAGCTGGTTTCTTGTTGGTCTAAAATCTAATACTGTATGCAAAAAAAAAAGTCAAGTACTTATCTAACTAGTGTGTATAAAATAATCCATATTCATTTATATTCTTAGTTCTCTATTGTTTTTTTAAACTCAAATATACTGTACCAGCTCCTATTTCCAATAATTGGGTACAATTGGGAAGTATGAAGAAACAGGAAAATGAAAAATTTTTAAAAGCTTTAAAAACCAAGACTCTTAAGATAAAACAAACATCCATAAACTGAGTCTGAAAAGTAAATCTCAAATACAGAAGAAATGCAAATATGAAAATAACTGTTTCCATGTGGGGTTTACTTCACGAGATCCTGATGCAGTGTTTTTTTCTCAAAAATTTACATAAATTATAAGAGGAATGATTGACAGAGCTAATTTAGAAACAACTTAAAAAAAATTTTTTTAGTAGAAAATATGCTGAAAGAATTCCCTTCCAAATAGAAGCTTATCTAAGTAAATTTAAGTATGAAAATTGCTGTGAAGAATCTTACAAGATGAGATTACATCAAATATTGCTCCCAATTATGCAAACATTTGTCAATTATAAATAATTACATACTTGTCATTATATTTTTTTTTAGAACTATCAAGTGTTTTAAGTGTATATGTGTATTAAATTTAACATTATATCTTTATAATGTATTTATTATTAATCACTAACATCATAATGGAAGCCAATAAGAACATATAATTACACAAACATTTGCCTTACATGTCTTAAACATTTCATGACATTTAAAACATCAAGTAATTTCAAAGTACATTTTTCTTTTTTAAAAATGTTTACAGGTAACTTGTTTTTATATCAGTTATATTTTCAAATCCCTCTCTCCCTCCCAAAGAACCATTTCAAAGAACAATAACAAAGAGAATAGTTTAGCAATACTAACCAACATATTGAAAAAAGTCTGACATTACCTACAATATTCCACAACCAGAGCCTATTTCTATAAAGAAGGAAGGGAGGTTATCTTATATTTTTTCTTTGGGGCACAGTTTGAGCATTATAATTTCATTGGACTTTGTTTTTTTTAAATAAACTTTTATTGGTATGTTTTGTTTTACACTGCCTAAATTTCTCCTAGAAGTACTTTTCTGCCCCCTTTTCAGAGAGTCATTTCATATAACAAAGAATATTTTTTTTAAAGAAAAAAGAGAAAGAAAAATAATCAGCAAAACCAATCAATACATTGAAAAAGACTGAAGATTACAGGCAATGTTCCATACCCATGCACCTTGAACCTCTGCAAAGGAGTTGGGGGAGGTATTTTCATGTCTTATTTAGGGCAATGCTAGCTACTTCGTAATTCTGCAACATTCATTTTCAATTAATTTGTAGCTACTGTTAATTGCATTTAAATTGTTGTAGACATTCTGTATGCTGTTTTTGGGCTCTGCTTACTTCATTATGTATTAGTTCCTATAAGTCTTCTATGCCTCTCTGTATGCATCATATTTTTCATTTCTTACAGCATAGTAATATTCCATCAAACTCATATGCCATAATTTGTTTAATCATTCCACAATCAATGGGCATCTACTTTGTTTCCAGTTCTTTGTTACCTCAAAAAGTGCAGTGTTCAGTTTCAATTGTTGCTGTTCTTTCTTTTTATGTTGCTGTCACTGTGTATATTGTTTTCCCAGTTCAGTTAACTTCACTTTGATTAAGGTCATACAGAGTTAAGTCTTCCCATGCTTCTCTATGTAGAAGGATAGTTGGTCTTAGACTAAATGATTTAACCCCCTTCCCTCACTTGATGTAATCACAGATAATAAGGAGTTAATGTTTTTAAAAGTGTTAACATCCTGCTGTCTTTTCCCAGAAATGTGAGCATCTTTTTCCACGGAACTGAAGCAATGACGAAAACTGGCCAAACTCCTGGAGGTCTTTAAATAGCTAAGCCTGGAATCAGAGTGATGTGGTCTGAGAGTCTGAAGCAGTCTAGATTGGAACACGTCTTGTTAAGAGTGGCCACTGTGCCTAAACAAAGGTAGTAGTGGAGAGTTTCTCTCTTCCTTTTCCAATAAGTAAATGGCTCTTTGAATCTTTGCCCACTGTCAGATGGCTACTAAGTGTCTGAGCCAGGAATCAAAACTAGATCTTTCCTGATTCCAAATTTAATGTTCTTTCTTCTATGGCATATTATTTTCTCAATCCATTGTAGGATGGCACTGTAAACGTGTTACTTACCTCCTCCCCAGTAAAACTCTATGATTTAGAGTACTAACTGTTTTCAACGTTTAGGACTCATGGGAAAAACCATCCTTACTAGGCCATTCACATATACAGACCATGCATGAACTGGGAGTTTTAAAAATTGATGAGTGAATACATATATCCTTTTTTGGATATGTATTTTCAAAATTGCTAAACATTATCTTCAACATAATACTTCTCAATTTGTTTTTGTCTGCAACTATAATACCTCTTTCCAATTAAGTTAAACAAGTATTTGCCTAGTATTCATATAAAATAAGGCTAGGCTCTATGGAGGATACATAAGGGTACAATCTGGTTCTTTACTTGAAGCACTTTATAATCTAGACTGGACAACACTGAAGTACATAAAATGATCAGAAGTACAAAGTAGAATACAACAGTTTTCAATAAACTGCTAAATTGAATGTAATCAAATACCAAAGTGTAAGGTCCTAGGAACACAAAAATAAAAATTAGGGATTCCTTCTACTTTCCACAAGGAGGTAGGTCAGGGATGGCTTCACAGAGAAAAAACTTAAGCTGAGCGTTGAAGGAAGGTAAGGATTGTGAAAGGCAAAAAACAAGGAGGGTATACACATGAGGCAGGACTGATGGTCTAAGTGAACACAAAAATAAGCTATGGCATGCTGAATTCAGGGAATTTGCCTAGAACATAGAATGCATGAAGATGAATATTATCAAATAAAACTGGAGGTAAACTGGAAGCAAATCATAGAGGGTAGTTGGATATTGAAAGACTGGCAGAATGGATAGAGTGAATGGTTGGAGAAAGCATTCTGGGCAGGTGGGTCTGAAAGAGTGAAAGCACTAAGGTGGTAATGAATATGCTACATTCAGGATGAAGGAGACTAGTTTCTATCAAAAAAAAACCTAGATAAAATGTAGCAGTTTTAATATTTTATCATACTGTGTTAGCATGAACTTCAACTTGTATTTCCAATTTCACTAAAAACAGAATCAATCATATTTAAGGACACATATCACCAGAAAAGGAGATGATCTGGTCATGTAGGGAGAAAAGAATGCAAAAGATAACAACCTTATTGCTACAATGGTACTTTTGAGATACTAAAAGAGGTAGAGGAAGGTATCCAGCACACTGACTGTATATTCTATGGCAGTCTGTGGACAGACAAGAATAAGGAGTTGCAGTATGTATGGATGAGGGACACCCACACCAATGAGATCAATAAAAACGATATTCATCAGGGAAATATTAATATAAAAAAACTAAATTCTGCACACAAATAAAATCAAACATTATGATGAAATTAAGGTAACTGATTTTTGCTGTTTAGCTTTAATATTTTTAGTATTTAGTATTTTAGTATTTTAGTATTTTCAGTTCAATTTAAAAAATACAGGAATATATAAAAGAGAAATGATTAGCAAAACTGTAATCCTTTGAATAATAATACATCAAAACAAAATATTCTTTGTTAGAATTTCAAGAAAATTAAAAAGAAAAAATATTTTATATATAGAACAAACCATACAGAATAATAATCCAGAGTAAGTTAAACATTTCCACATGAGAAGTATTATTATAAGATACCTGCCCTTAACTAAAAAACTAAAACCACATTTCTTATATTTACATAAAAAATCCCTTTGTATGCTCATACACACATAATACACATATATCATTTCAAATAGGAAACTTTGAGAAATTTATTATTTTTGCTGGTGCAAAGAAATAACAATTTAAAAATACAGAATCATATTTATATATGGAATTTTTCATTATTCCCAATAGATAAGTTGACCAAATATCCTTCATGTGATCACAGATACAGAGCTGAAAAGGACTTCAAAGCAAAATTATTCTCCTGCTAAACACAACATTCGAGAGTATGAAACAAGCAGGAATTGTATGTGAAACAGGTACTCTTCCATCAGAATTAACCACTCCTGTCTTCAAATATTGCTGAAAAAGTGAAAGATGTCTCATTGTGAAAAATATGGGGCTGATAATCGATTTTTACTATGTGACACATTACAAAGTTCTGTTCATATCTCCTTGGCAAACTCAGTCACTGACCAAAAGCTGGCTATTTTGGCAAATGATATAACTAAATAATAACTAAATGATGCTGTACTTTTGGGTCTTGTTTCTACTTCTGTTAATTTTTTTTAGTATCCTCCCTCATTAGGAAGAGGCTGGTTGTCCATATCTGTTCCTATTACTATGCTATCAACAGTCCTTTCAATTCTTTTCATCTGTTGTCAACTGTGAAGTCAGATTGCCAAGTCTGTTAGAATTATTTCTAAAACAAGAATAAGTTAATCGTGGCAGAGAAATAACGCTGTATTTTTGAAAGTTATGCCACTGAGGTGCCAGCTCTGGTTGGCTCTACAATGCTGGAAAGGTTTTGACTATGGTCTCCAGCAACAGTTTTGCTTTTCTTTCAAAAGACAAGAATTACTAAGTATGAACTCACCATCAGTAAGCTGGCCACTTTGTGATGAATTCTTTGGCCACGGCAATCTATCAAACAAGTAAATAAGCCCCAAGGGGAAGTGTCTATTAGCTTTCCTCTGAGGTAACTGTATTACCTTTGGTTCATGGTGTTTGAGGCATCATAGCTAAAAAAAATGACATATAGACAACTACAATACAAAATGGTATGTAAGTAAAATGTAAGCACAGTGCTATATGAAATCAGCGGGTAGAACCAGTTTCATGAAAGAGGCAGTATTTGAATTGGGCTTTTATGTAGGAATTCAGGAAGAGAGGTTGGAGGAAGGCAGTCCAGGTCTTGGCTTTCCTTCAAATACATGAAACTCCCAAATAAATGACCTCTAGACACATGAAATGTTACTATGTATTTTACCTTATCCATTCACCCAGATCGACTTCTTTCTTCAATTCTGAGGACAAATAAGTCTTTTAAACTAACACAAATATACAACCTAAGCAAAGATATTGTTTACAAACTTTCCCTGGCACAGGAAATAGTCCTCTGCTAGACCACAGCTCGATTACAAAAGATGAGGTACTGCCACACCCTACCCCCATTCCAAAGGACACACTGGTTGGGGGAAGGGGTGGTGATAAAGGATATTAAACATCAATGTAGCAATTGACCAGAGTACTATTTTTCAAATGAAAAGTATGCCCCAGAAAAAACAAAATTCACATTATTTACCCACAAATAATGGAACACTGACTACCATACAATTAACAAAAAGGCAACAAATATTAATTAAATGTATACTATGTTTGAGACATTGTCTTAAGTGCTAGACTGAACTAAGCTGGTTATAATAAAGAAATTGGTCTATTGTCATTATCTTAGTCTTTCATTTTTATCTCTTAGCCTGCTACCTGCTAGATATTTATGTGCTTTAAAAACCATAACTTTGATATCCTCATATATGAGAGTACAAAAAATAATATAAGGGATAAATTTTCAAAGATATCCACTCTCCCCTCCCCCATTTAAAAATTATTATTATTATTTTTTTTTACCATGGATAGGAGAGCCTTCATCAGCAAACAAAAAAGGTTCTATATCTTTCAGGGAACTTCTACCTTCAAGTCGAGCAAGAAGCTTTCAAACAAACAAAAAGAGAGAAAAAAAGCTCATTAGGTATAAATAATGACCATTAAAAATGCAACTACATTTATTGGTGTAAGAATGCCTGCTAGCAATCCCTTTGGCCTGGGATAAAATGCTGCAGATAATAAAAGTACAAAATGAGGTAAAATGATAAGGTAACTCAGGAGGCTATCTGTCATGCCAAAATATTAACAGTAAAAATTGACCACCAGTATGGCAAAAAATAATTATTATGAACTTTCTTCATCTCATATAATCAAGAGGAATCTAATCATTAGTTTAGTTGTGAACCAGATGCATATTTAAAGGTGTGAAACATTTTACACCTTCAATAAAGTTTATTATGAGGTCTCATCATGGAACAGAGGTAACAATAGGTTTTCCAAGGTAAGCTCAAAGCTGAAAAGCTTTCCTGAGTACCAGTTTGTTGATGGGCTCTTTATCTCCTTTTTGAGGACCTGCCTGGCCAAGGTTTGGGACATTCCCTATCCAGAAGGTTGGGCACAAGGTGATTTTTTTTTTCAGGGGAGGGAAAGCACAGCAAGTCTACTGTAGGGGTTGCAATCTGCATTAATGGGAGTGTGGACATATCAGTGAAATCACAGATAGGTGAAACATTTAAGAAAATTAGGTTACTCAATATTCTGTAGGTGAGTGTATACATATACAGAGTATTAAAGGAGATTTAAAAAATCATACCAGCATTTATTAACCTAAATGATTACCGCACTTCAAAGTACTTAGCTTGAGAGGTTATATACTTATCACAAGAATTCTTCTATCATTCAAAACATTTCTGAAAACCTCTTTTAAATTATCCTCTGAGCCAAACAAGAAAACAAGTCTCATCATTAGTGTATGATCACATGTAGTGCAGTAACTAGGGATTTGTGTGCCCAAGGTTAAGTGGCAAAAAAAAAAACCTCCTTGTTCTCATTTAGGGGAAGAAGAAGCTGGGGAAGGGATGAGAGAAAGTGACCCCAAGATAGCAGTTTGAGGCTGCTGTGCTGGGAAAAGGGGAATGCTATGACACGGGAAGAATTCACCCAGCCTATCATCTGATACCTCCCTATCTTAATTAATCTTGCTAAATATTAAACACACCATTTCTAGTCTGCTAAATAACTGCAAAAACTGTCAGTGCCCTCTAAATGTGACACATCAAGACAAAGTCCCCTTTACCCTATAATAGTTACAACTCTGATCACATCTCATTTTAACCAAAGAAGCTATTAATCCAGCTTTAGCACCAATCTCACTCATCAGACCTATCTCCAATACAGGAATTTGGCTAATTTCAAAATCAGATTTGCCCTAAAAAAATGTAGATCTGCCACAGCCCATCGAGTTCAAAATAATATACCAAAAGGTTTAGAAGGAAATCCAGAGGAGTTCCAAAAACACTTTTGGTCAAATACAATGATAGTAACATTACAGTATAGCCTACTAGGGTAGCTACTTTGTAGCTTGTAATCACAATATGAGTATATTCATATGTGTATGTATTTATGGCTACACAAAAGCACATAAAAACCTGTCCCTCAGGGTGATGAATCGCTAAAGAAGGTAGTACTAAGCACTCAAGTGTGACTTGTATAGGAGAGAGGTATTCTTTAGGGCTAATTTCATAAGAAACAGTAGTATATTTACCAATCATTTCTAAAAATTAGGTGTAAACTGAAGGAATTTTCTACAGCCCAGAATATCAACAACTCAGAAATATGACAATTTGGTAAAGAAAAGAGTACTGCAGATATTATTAATAAAATAAATAAAACATTTGTTAAACATTCAAAAAAGGTGGCATTAACGTTATACATACTTTTGTCCCACAATTACATCCTCCTCTTCCATTTTCCAACTATGGTAACAAGGAATCTAATGCAAAAAAAGTATGCTTTTTTTTTTTTCATGAATGATAACAGAAAAGGAGGATGGGATATAGTTGCCAGAAGGCTTTCTGAAATTTCAAACAAAGAAACATTAATAAAAATCTCCCCTCTACTATGACAAGAAAGGGTGACAGGAAACTTCTGGGCTTTTGCAACAGAGTGGTCAAGGTGGCACTGCTACAGGGGCTGCCCATGGTAATGGGCAGCTCTTATGTGGGGAAGATCTCTTCTAACTGATGCTAATAACATCAGGGTCCATATAAAAGGCAGAAACATAAATGGGAAAAAATGAATATAATAATCATGTTATAAACAATTTGATGTATTCTCAAATAAAGTGCTTTCTTCATGGCAACCCTGTGAGAGATCTTATGGTTATTACAGATGTTGGAGGGTTTTTAGAATGAAAGTTCCCTGAAAGTGAAGAGTATTGTTAATTTTGTCTTTGTATACACAGCACCTAAGACAGTGCCTTTCATACATAGATGCTTAATTTGTTTAATTATTTACACCAAACTTCATAACTCCAAAAAGTGCGACTACAATGCCTCATCATGGCATGGAGGTTATTCTATGTTCCTGAAGTTCATATCGTCAAGGTTCTTGAAGGTTCTATCATGCTGGACAGCCCTTGAATATGACCTTGGCAACAAACTAAGACTGTAAAGAATATTCCTAAAGATGAGGTAATGGTTTTATAGCAGTCAAAGCCCTCAAAATGTGGGGAATGGATCTTACAGATGCAGAGATTGGGTTGGTAACCTAGATGACCTGAAAATAGAAGCAGATTAAGAGGCTGCAAAGAAAGGGAGGATGACAGAGCTTTAAACCTTCTCTTAGACCAAGAGATATTGTAGGGGAAGTCAAGTAGCTATTTAAAGACCTACAAGTTCAAGGTGCCAAAGGATTACACCTCCCCTTGAGGTACAAGTAGACTAGTGTTATATTGACTTGTTTTTCTATGTGAAAATAGGTTTAATTTCCTTTTTTTGCTCCAAACTTTCCAAGAAGTATTCCAACTGCTGGTCTAGGGACTCCCTAATCAGCATGTGTAGGTTCTCTGAATCTGTTTCAAGCCTAGAAGTGTTCTGTGGCCAAATTAATCTGAAAAATTCTAAATTAGGTTAAAGTTTAACAAAATGTTAATGTGCTATAGTTCAGAAAAACCTGATTTTTTTCTTTGTTCCCTAGGCTTTCCATTCCCTAGCCATACCTATTCCTCTTGCCTGGTACCCTCTCCTCCCTTCTGACTTGCCCCTTATCTGGAATCCTCGTATCTAGAAACTTGGAAGATTTCAATAGAAACTTATACTCTCCTGGATGACTGGGATTCAGGAGTGAGAAACCAATCAGAGCCCCCTTAGTATAACCCTTGGTCTCCCTACAAAATAAGTGAGCTGCTACTGCTCTCAGCTGAGCTAAAAGAGGTGCCCTGGAGCATGAATCTTTTCTTAGACCAGAGGTTCCCAAACTTATTTGGCCTACTGTCCCCTTTAAAATAAAATTACTCAGCATCCCCCTGGAAATCTACTGTAGAAGGTAATGCTTAAGCCAAGTCTTGAAGGAATTCAAAGATTCCAAGAGGCAAAAGTAAGGAAACAATGCATTATAGGCATGGGGGATGGAACTCCATATGTGAGGAATAGTAATTATGTTAGTATGTCTGGATGGTAGAGTGTATAAAGGGAAATAATATCTATAACTAGTAATATATAATTACACATTAAGCTGGAAAGGTAAGAAGGGGCCAGACTGTGAAGAGCACTCAATGTCAAAAAGAGATTATATTTTATTGAGGTAATAGAGAACCACTAGAATTCATTGAGTTGGGAGGTCAGACATGGTCATACCTATACTTCAGGAAAATCACAAGCAATTATATGGAGGATGGATTGGAGTAGGGAAGAGACCTTTTGGTACAAATAGGAAGTTATTATTTATTATTGGTATTGGTAGATCAAAGGGTATGCAAAGTCAAGTAACTTTTTAGGCATAATTCCAAACTTTGCCACATTCAGTTTTGATTGTTCTTTCATTTTACATTGTTTTTGTCATTGTGTATGGGAAGTGACTTACTTAACCACTATATGCCTCAGTTTCCTCAATTATAAAATTAGGATAACACCCTACCTTCCAGGATTGTTGTGAAGATCAATTATTTGGCCAAACAGGACATTATTATAGTTCATCCGTAAAGTTATGAGGACGTGAAGTAAGGTGGTGATTATATGAATGGAAATAGTGGGATATACTATGTGGAAGGTTTCTACAGAGGTAGTAAGACATATATGATAGCTGGGCTTGCAGTCAGAAACTTTGGGTTCAAACTATACTTCTGACACTAGGTATGTGACCCTAGGCAAGTCATTTAATTGTTATGTGCCTCGAGAAACTCCTTAGAGTTACAGAAACTTTTAATTTGCGATCCATTTTGGTGAAATGAGTTCCCAAACTAGGAATTTCCTACTATGACACTGTGATGACATACCTGGTCATAAGGGAAACAATGATAAAAAAAATTACACAGTTCCCCCCATGAAGCTTATATTGTACGAGGAGGGCTAAGACATAGAAAAGTATAATATCAGATAGGATGTGATGAGAGCAAAGGAGAGTTCCAGCCAAAGGGCTCTAGAAAGATTCATATGAGAAGACTGCCTTTTTTTTTTTTTTTTTAGATGTCAGAGGATGGGGAAAGATTAGGGAGAACAGCATCTGAGGTGAGTCTTTAAGGAAGAGACACATTCTGAAAGCACAAAACAGGGAATATATTCCAGGTATGTGGAACAGTTGGTGCAAATGCATAAAATCAGGAGATAGCATATTGATTTTCAGGAAACTTCTATACATGAAGGAACATAATATGAAATAAAGCTTGAAAAGTAGTTTGGAGCTAAATTACATCAGGGCATAATTGCCAGGAAAAGGGGAAAAGGTTTAATACTAGAATCAACACAGAGTCATAGAAGGTTTTTGGGTAAAAGGCTGATATGTCAGACCTATGCCTCTGGAAGATAATTTTGGCAGCAGTGAGAAGGATGGACTGGAAAGGGAAGAAGTGAGAAGGGTCTGAACTAGGAAGTATGAAGGGAGAAAGGG